AGAAACCCATTCTAGCAAGAAAGCAGACCAAGTGCCCAACAGTTAGGGCAAAATTTCAGACTGACCCTGGAGAAACAGGCTGCTGAGAAACTGCACCACAGGGGGAGTGAGGGAGGAGGCCAGAGGGGCTCAGACTGCAGAGAGCAGGTCTTGCAGGAGAGTCCTGTTTAGGTAGAGGACAGCTCTGACGTCCTCTCCAGGTATTCCTGCAGCCAGTCTGGCCACCTGGGGAGAAGGTGTAAAAAGCCACAGGCTCACCTCCCTGAGGTGCAAGGCTTTGAAGCATTTTCCTTCACTAGTGCAAGAATGTCCAACCTCGTGGGCCCTGTCCACTCCTCCCACTTCTGGGCTGGCCTCCAGACACACGCAGAGACCTTCATTTTATGAAGCATGTAATTTCGGTCACATAAGAAAATGCCAATGTTCTCGGGAGATTGATTCTGGTGGAGGAGTGCATGGCACCGTGTTCCAGTTTGCTTTGAAATTCTTTATTTTACAGCAAAGGGAAAAATCCTGAACTCAAAAGATCCTTCCAGTTTGCTGGCTGCTTGGTCAGACCTGCTGTGGCTCTGCTCTGGTTGTTGGTGACATGGAGTTTGTGCCCCTCAGTTTTTTTTTGTTGTTGTTTTGTTTTGTTTTTGTACCAGAGATTGAACCTCAGGGTGCTCAACTACTGAGCCACGTTCCCAGCCCTTTGTATTTTTTATTTTGAGATGGGGTCTCTCTAGGTTACTTAGGACCTCACTAAGTTGCTGAAGCTGGCCTCAAAGTTACGATCTTCCTACTTCAGCCTCCTGAGTTGCTGGGATTAGGGGCGTGCACCACTGCACCTGACTTTGTGCCTGCCTTTGGAACATGTGAGATGGGTCTGGTGGGCCATAGTCCCCCTTCACATCAGGCCAGGGGTCAAGGGGCTGTACCTTTAACTCTGCCCACTCAGGTGCTTCTTTGGAGCTACAGGGTGGGTGCAGGTGGGACTTGGCCCAGGCCTGAGAGGCAGCTCTCCAGGTTGAGCTGAGAGTGTGGATCCCAGGACTCACTGCTTCCCACCCCGGCTCATAGTTCTGCTCTCGGGCAAGGGAGTCCGTTTGGTGCTTGCACAAGTTGCTTAACTTTTTCCACTAGCAATATTCCTGCACCCTCCCGTGGGATTGGTGGCCACATGGTCAGCCCTCCAGCCTCAGTCCTCCTGGCTTGGTGGTTGGTGGGTGTGATCACAGAAGGGAGAAGACAGATCTGTGTCTGGAGACCCTGGAGCAGGCACATCACAGCCTTCAGGAGACACACTTTCACCTCCGGAATTCTGTGGATCCCTCCTGGGCTCCGAGGCTGGCCTCCACACACGCAGGCCTTCATTCTAGGAAGCACATAGGGCAGACAGCTCTGAAGCTCGTAATTGGAGTTGTCAAAGAAAACTCCAGTGTTCTTTGGAGGTGGAATGACACAGCACTATAATGTGCTTTAATATTGTTATAGCCCAGGGCAGCTCTTGCTCATTGTTGAATTGGAGAGGTGGACACTGGGGCTAATCGTGTGGTTTTCTCTCCCTGGATTTGCATTGGCTGTTTTTCACAGGGAGAGTGTGAAGCGTGTGGAGTTCTCTGAAACCTCTTGGGCACGCGTGTAAATTTTCCAGCCACTTCCCCCCGGGGCGAGCGCCACGGCTGGGTCTGCCGTCCTGGGTCTTGCCCGCCTCCCTTGGGCAAAGACCGCGGGGCTCTAGGTAACTGGAGTTTCCTGAAAAGTCGCTGCCCATCTCGCCACCCGAGATGGCTGGAATCCCATCGTTAAAAGCTCACAGAGGTTATTTTTACCCTTGTGGAAATAGTAATGTGTTTTGTTTTTATTGGATAAACATTTACTGAGCATCTCTGTATGAAGACCAAACAGGAGAAAAGGAGTGCAGTGAGTGTGGCCCTGACTGTCCCAGCATCCCTCACTGGGGGCTGGGTGCCAGGACCCCAGGGAAGGGTCCCCGTAGGCTCCCCTAATACAGTATAGGGATGCTTTCTCACAGGGAAGTCTCACCAGCAGTCACACGTCCTGTGGGTGAAGCTGCCCCAGCCCTCAGCCACAGCTGAAGCATTCTGATCCTGTTCTCAGGGGAGACCCCTCTCCCAGTGACTGGGCTTTGGAGGGCTGGAAGGCCAGGTTTTCCACTTGGCCTCCGCAGATCCACTGGGTGGGGACTGAGTGGGGTGCTCTGTGGGAGGCCCACTGGTGAGGCTGGCAAAGGCCTGCTTCAGGAGGCCGTGCTGTCAGCTGCTGGGGAGCTGCTGGGGCCATCAGAACAGGTGCTCCCCTGGAGTCTGATCCCTGGGAGCCTCTTTTCTGTGTGCTTAGGCAGCCTCCTGCCCGTGAGGCTTGCTTTGAGGAGGCGGTGACTGAGGCACCAGCGGTGGGGTGGGAAACACTGGCCATGTGAGACTGGTCTGGTCTCGCACACCAGGGCCCAATCCCCAGCTGCCCTGGGGTCACTGCTGGTCCTACGGGCTGGTCTGTGGGCACTTGCTTTCCGCCCCTTGACCCTGAACTCAACCCATGGAGGTGTCCACCTTGACGTAACCTTCTGACTGGCTGTGACCTCCTCCGGGCAGAGTTGCTGCCTCTGGCAAGAGCTGCTGGGACTCTGGGAGGCGTGGGTGGCAGGAGCGCTGGGTCGTGACGGGCTCCTGCACACACGGTGAGGCGGTCATGGTGGGCCTGTTTGCCACCTCAGAAGGGGACATTAACACGGGGGTGGGAAGGACCAAATCCCTGGGGTCTCCAGTGTGTGCAGGTGATCCCAGCTGTTTCTGGTGGGAGTGCCAGTCGGTGTGGTCACTGTGGAAAAGTAGTTCAAGACCTGAAGTTCAGCCTCCCCTACCCTGCACCCGGCATGGTGCACTCCTGGTGTGTGCCCAAGAGAGACTTGCTGGGCGTTGGGAGACACGCACAAGTGTCCACTGTCCTCCTGTGCACAATAACAAAAGCCTGGACAGGGCCCGATGCCCGTCGGCGGGGGACAGATGAACACGCTGAGACGTGATCGCACAATGGGACATTATCCAGCTGTCCAAACAGATTAACTGCAGCCGCACGCAGTGCATGCAAGGGTGGGCTCGAGGTGGAGCAGGGGGCCGGACGGTACGGGCAGCCCCAGGTGGACAGCGGCTGAGTGAGGGCGCACGCCGCACGGGAGTAGGGACTGCGCCCTTGCAGTTGGGGTCAGCATGTCTTGGGTGGGAGGAGGCGTGGGGTGGTTTTACATTCCAAAAAGTGGCTGAAAGAAGGTGGGCCCTGTGTGCACCAGACGAGTGTCACGAGCCCAGTACCGTTGTGCCCAGTAGTTACCCGTTCTGTACGAGTCAAGCCCAGCAGGCCAGTGCCCACGTTAGTCTGGCTGCTGGGGTGGGGCGGGGTCTGTTTCCATAGCTGCTCTCCCCTGCTCTGCACCGTCACCGCCTGTGCCCCTGCTCCAGTCTCCCTGCTCCACCTGCCTGCTAGTGTTGTGACCTGTGGCCATGCGAGGTCTAAGTGTGGTGTGCTTCACCTGAGAAGCCTCCCTAGAGGAGGTGGCACCTCCCTCTCCCCCTCCTCCTTCCCCCTCCTCCTCCCCCCTCTCCTCCTCACAGTGCTGTACAGGGGTCAAGGCTCCAGCCTCCACAGAAGGCCACCCAGTACCCGGGTCTGGGGGACTCTCTCAGCAGCTTTGGTTTGACTTCTCATAAACTCAGATCTGGTGGAAGTTGCTGGTGTTCAGCTCTTTGTTGCTCACAGCTGGACACGATGCTCGGTGGAGGTGCTCGGTGGAGGTGCTTGGAGACCCCCGCAGTGGTTTTTAGTGCTGCTGGGTCTGTGAGGACCTTACCGAGAACCCTGGGGACTTCAAAAAGTCAACAGAGGCCGGGCCTGTTGGTGCACACCTGTAACCCCAGGGACTTGGAAGGCTGAGGCAAGAGAATTGCAAGTTCCAGGCCAGGCTCAGCGATTTAGGAAGACACGATCTCAAAATAAAAAAGGGCAGGGATGTGGCTCAGTGGCCAAGTGCCCCAGGGTTCAGTCCTCAGAACCAAAAAACAAAGTCATCAACTCCGAGTTGTGGTTTCCAGACTCTTTGGGACCTTCTGTGTTTAGCAGGAGACCTGGACTCCCAGGTCGTTCCACTCACCCTTGGTGACCCCGCATGTCACTCACCCTCTGACTCCATTTGCCCCCCTGTTCAGTCACTCAGCAGCTGTGCCTGCTGCCTCTAGAGTTGGGCAGCCTGTGTTGTCACCATTTGTGTGCCCTGGCACTCGATCATATGGACTGTCACCTTCAGAGCTGTCTGCAGAGGGGTACCCATGTCCTGGGGCCACCCCGGGTCTGGCATTGCTGCCCAGGAGTGGCCTGCAGGCTCCCGCTCTCCCCACCCTGTTAACCTGCCCGTGCCAGCCCACTGGCCATTGTCCCCTCCCCAGAGAAGGCCACAGTTAGAGGTGGGTGAGCTGTGGCTCGGGCAGCCCCTTCCTCGTGGCTTCAGTCCCTCTTCATTCTCCCTCCTCTCAGAGACCAGTGCACGCCAGGTGAGGGGTGGCCCTGGCCAGGTGGGTGTGGAGCTGATGCCCAGGGCAGTCCTGTACGAGGCCTGGGGTCCGGCCTCGCCTCTGGGGCCTGGGTGACTGGGCAGCTGTGGTCACTTTGGAATGCTAACCCCAGGGGATTGGCAGCAGGCGCCTCTGCAGTGTGGCTGTTGGACAGAAAGTCCTTTCCCACCTTGGCAGGCCTTGGGGCGTCTGGGTGGCCAGCTGGGGACCGAGCCAGCGCTGCAGCTCACCCTGCTGTGGCCAGCTGTGACTCCCCCTCTGCCTCTCGAGCCGAGGTGGGTTCGGGAAGACAGCTGTGGCCTCCGCACTCCATCTCTGTGGTGCAGAGCGGCTCCCCGAAGCCCCCCAGAAGGCTCTGCGCTGCTGGTGAGGTTGGTGAATCCATCGGAGTCCCGGGAAGTGGGGCCTCTGTCGTCACCAGACCTTCCTGCCTGTAACCACTTCCATTCAGCTGGTGGTTGGTGGGCATCTGCGTGGGCCAGCAGCTGACCCTGAAGTTCCCGACAACCTGCAGTGCTGGGTGTGCTGTGCTGGCACCCAGGCAGGGTGAGGAAGGGGCTTGAAGGCTCAGCAACCGGGAGGCAGCTGGTGTACCCGGGAAGTGGAGGCTTGGGTAGGGCCAGACATTGGCAGGGACCCCTGTAGGGCAGAGAGAATTGCATCAGACCGGGGTGGCCAGAGGACAGGCTGGACCACAGCTGGCCCCTCTGCTCACCCCCAGCCTGCAGCAGCCCTGATATTGATAACATCTGTTGAGATTTTCACTTCCTGCTGAAATATTACTCATGAAACTTGTCATTTCTTAACCTTCCTCTTCCCCGGTGTCCTGAGCTGCCCTCCTTCGGTTTCCTGCTAGGGGATAGATTCCTGGTGAGGGAGCAGTTCCCTGCTCTCTAGAGGCAGCCTGGTCTCCCGCAAGCTCCGGTTGCTGCGCGAAGCTGCTGGTTGGCAAGGTGTGCCTGCTTGGTGGCCCCTCTTTTGGAGGGGCGAGCAGGGCTGGCCCGGGTCAGTCTGCTTGCTGGGCTGCTGTGGAGAACCAGCAGCCCCCCCTGTTCCCACAGAGCCTCTCCTGCTCCCCCACCTTCTCCACTCACCCACCCGGGGCTACACCTGTGCTGCGCCCAGCAGGCATCGCTAGGCAGCCGCAGCACAGTCTCCCGCTGAGCCCAGAGCGGCCCCACAGTTCCCAATGCAGGTCTCCACCAGCCGCGGAGGCGGGAGCCACCCTGGGCAGTTGTGTGTTTCCTGTTTCTCTCGAGGCTGGAGGCAAAGGAGGCCGTGGAGAGAGCTCTGTTCCTGGCCCTCAGGAGTGGAGCTCCTCATGCACACGTGCCTGTGGCCTGTGCTGGGCCTCACTTCTGGGGCAGTGGCCCTGCCTTTGCCCCCAGCAGAGCTGCTCTGGGCTGACGCAGGTACGGTGTTGCCCCCAACAGGTCGAGATCAGCGCTCAGCCAAACTACAAGTCCAGGACAGGCGTTGGGTTTTGCCGGCACCTGCTGGGCCCTGATTAGGTCCAGGCACAGTGCTTGGCTGCCTGTGGAGTAGGTGTGGTGTCTGGCAGGGGCAGAAGCTGAGGCCCAGCAGCGCCAGGTTGGTGGTGGAGCTGGCACGGTGGATCGCAGGGCTGCCTCTGTTTGGATAAGCACAGATGGGCACTCCCAGTGCAGAGGCTCTGTGCATATCTGGTTCTCATTGTCATATTGGACTGCAGTGGGGAGTGTCAAACCAGCCCTGTGCTGGGAGATACAATGTGGGGGTGACTTTTGCTTCTTGCAGAATTTCCAGTCCCCACTCCCAGTCCAGTTCAGATACTTGCACATCTACCTTCAGGGCACCTTCTCCATGTTCTTTCCCACCTCAGCTTGAGGGGGCCCTCCTTTTTGGAGTCTGTATTAGCCCATTTTCTTTTATTGTAACATAATACCTGACGTGGGTACTTTATAAAGAAAAGAGGTTTGTTTAGCTCACAGTTTTGGAGACTGAGAGTCCAAGATCAGGTGACCTCTTCAGACTTCTTGGTGGATGGTGTCACAGTGACAGGAGTACATCCTCCTAAACAAGATGGCATGAGGAATTCAGAGGCCAGGCTCACTATATCAACCCACTCTCTTTTCTGAGGTGATGTCCCCCAGTGTCCTAGTCACCTCTTACCCCCCCCCCCCCCCCCCGCCATGCAGGTTCTATCACGCTTCCAGCCATGACCCTGGAGGGATACATCCATACTCCAGCTGTCCCTTGTGCTTCAGGGCCCCAGCTTAGACACCTCCCATCGGCTCCTGCAGGACCGTCCCCGAGCGGGGAGGCTCTGTGTCAGGGCCAGTGCAGGCGCACACTTGGGCTGTCCTCCCCGCTGCCTGCAGCCTTTGTCATTATCTTCTGCATTCACAGTCCCCACACCCAAGGCACCGGCAAGAACCCAGGGGCCGCGGTGGCCTGGATGAAGTCATGGCCGCAGCCTGCTGGGGGGCTCTGCTGACTCAGGGGCGGTGCCCTTTGTCCAGTGGTGCTCACAGGGAGGCCTGTTCGGGCTGGGGCCTGGGGTGGTGGACTGGTGGCCTTTCCTGTCCCCACAGGCCACGGCAGGCTGGTGGCTGCCAGGCGCTCTCTGCCACTTCTGCTCTGCCGTGCGCCCTGGGAGTAAGGACCTGATGGCAGCAGCTCGGGCAGTGGGTGGGGTGGCAGCCTGTGGGGTGGCAGCGTGTGGGGCTCCAGCCCTGCCCAGGCGGTGCCCAGGGACATGGGGGGAGGCACTGCACTGCCCTGCAGAATCGTCCCCTCTGGAGCTTGCTGCTGCTGCGCCCAGGGAAGCCCCCGCCTCCTGGCTGGGTGGCTCGCCTGTCCCACCCACCCTGCAAGCTGCAGCGCCCCTGGCCATGCCCCCTCTGCCCACCCCTGCCTCCCACCAGCAAACCCTGGGCTTTTCCAAGAAGCTCAGAGGAAGGCGCCCACCAGCCAGAGCGCTCGCTGGGCCACGGGCTGCCCCTCTGCCCAGCACTCGTGCTGTCCTCCTAGCTGGGAAGGGAGCTTGGGTGGGTGCAGACCCTTGAAGCACAGACCCTCCCCCTTCCCGTGGCCAGGCCTCCGGGTCCTCCTTCCCCTCCCCCAAGGCCACTCCTGGCAAAGCCCTGGTGTGGGTGCTGCTGAGTGGTCAGGCTCTGGGTGTGGTACAGGGAGCCCTGGGGCAGAGTCCAAGGACACCTGGCTTCAGACCGCGTTCTGCTCCAGGCCTGGCCTCCTGGCCCTGCAGGTATCCACAGGCATCCTCCCCAGGCCCTGATGTTGGCCGGGCTCTGCGCGCAGCGTCCACGCTTGGATGGCCTCCGTTGCTTGGAACTCACTGTGGTTGCCAGTGACTCCACTGCAGGTCGGTCAGCTGTTGGTGACCAGGTGGGCATTGCTTGTCGGTGGCTCTGGAAGCTCTGTTCTCAGGCAGAAGTTACTTCCCGAGGACAGAGCTCTGGGCTGCGCCAGTCCCTCCACCATCTTTGGTCTTGGGGCTCAGAACCCAGACTGCTGGCATCACACAGCCCTAAAGGGAAGGGAACAGGTGCTCCTGGGGTACCTGAAGTGTCCCCAAGCTCGTCCCTGTTGGGATTCCCTGGGTTCTTCCTGGACGCGGAGCCTGCCTGCGTGTCAGAGCCGGCAGCCGTTGGGTTCATGACACGGAAGACATGCTCTGTCCTCTTGCCTGGTGCATCTCCCCTTCCCAGCCCTTCCCTCCACCCTCTGAAGGAGCCCAAGGCCCCTGGAGACTGTGGAGTCCTAATCCTGTTAACAGACAAGGGATGGCTCAGAGAGGGACGGACTTGCCCCTGGTCACACAGCAAGTTAAAGGCGGAGGCAGGAGTCAGTGGCTTCACCCTCATCAATGGTGGTGGGTTTCCAGGGGCCCCTGCCCCCAGCCCCCACAGTCCTGTTCCTCCTCCGTCAGTCCAGAGGACATACTTATCTTACTTTCTGTGAACAGCGAATGGGCTTGTGTTTTTTTCTGTGCACAGCTGTGAGGACAGGCATGGGCCGAGTTCCGGGGAGGGTTGCTGGTGGGGTTGTCACCTCAGGCAGGCCTTAAAATCGCTGGGTACTATAGGCAGCGTGGCCTAATGAGGGGAGCCAGTGCTTTGCAGATGGAGCTGGTTTCGGGCCCTGGGGACCCTGGGTTAATTGAAAGGAGGTGGGACAGATGGATTGAGTCTGTCGGTGGCTTCACGGGGAGCTGTCAATACAGAAGCCCGCTTCTTACGCTCTCCTCTACTTGCTGGCTTTGCCAGGGTGGCCCGCCCCAGCCAGAGGGGCTCGGTGGAGCCCGAGTAAGCTCGCCCTGGGGACCCGGCTCTGAGCAGAGTGGGAGAAACCATTGCTTAAATCCTCACTTACTTTCCTCCCAGCAGCTAAGTTGGAAAATGGTGCTCCTGGCCGTGAGGTTTCCAAAAAAGCGGCTGTGGCCCTTGGTTTGAGTCCCCTTTCCCTCGGAAGGGGTGGCTGGGCTGAGGTGGGCCGTCGAGTGACATGGGTCAGTACTGAAGATGCGTGGCAGGTGTCACCCACACAGGGTGCCCGGGTTTGGGCCATGGGGAGACGGCATGCAGACCCCGTTCCCCTCAGCCTGCATCCTGCTGTGAGACCTGGGGACCCACGTGTGCTTTGGGTCCTTCGGGTGGGAAGCGTTGGCGATACTTGCCCCTGGCCACCATGTGGGAATGTTGGGGGAGGAAAGGAGACAGGACCTCTCTCTGGTGGCTGTTAGTGGTTGGGGGGCGGGGTGAGGTTGGTTGGCCCCAGTGCCATTTGCAGGTGGTTTTGGCTGAAGCCCATTTAGGGCACCCTCTCGGCCAAATCAAGGTGACAGGTTTTGTGAGGTGGGTCACAGTGTGTGTAGAGCGTGTGTGGAACTGTCTTGGCTTAGGGCTGTCTGTGGGCCCCCATCGGTCTCACCTGCCTGCACCTAGCTGGCCCTGTGCGGCTTCCGGGGTAGGTGTCCTGCGGGGCCCTGAGCACTGCCCCTTTCCTGGAGCCCCTGGACACATTTGCATACAGGTGGGGCCTTCCTGGGGGGAGTCCTTCTGTAGTCTGGGCTTAGAAATTCACCTTGTTCCACTGAGTTTGCTCAAATGATTGCATTTGGTCCTTTGGGTGCTGGGGGGAGCTGGGGGTGCTGGGACCCAGTGCTCTACCTCTGAGCTGCCTCTCCAGCCTCGTGTTTGGGGCTTTGCAATCAGAAAGCGTGGTGTATTTAGACCAGCCTTAAAATTCCCTTTCAAATATTTCTTTTAATTTGTATTCAATATCCCACTTACACAAGTGATGGGAAATTATAAACAGATTCTAAACTAACTCCTTTCCCCTCCCACTTTGAAGGGTTTTTAACTTGTGCTCGCAGCTCCAAGCTGTGCATCTTGAGGAATATGGTGTCAGACTTTGCCAGGTTTCGGGGCAGAGGAACCAAGTGAGCAGACAACCACCGGCTCCGCTGCAGGGCAAAGCAGCTGCTCTTCAGGACTCGATCCTCTGTCACTGTGGCGGAGAGGAGACACCTCCCACACAGGCGGCTTTTAAAAAACGTTCTCAGTACAAAACTTGAGGAATATTTTCCAATCTATTTTTCCAACTGTCACTATTAGCAGCTTTTTGCTGGCTGAGTGGGGGTCTGACTGACAGGCCAAATGTGGGTGCTCCATGCAGATGAAGCCGTGGCAGCCTGGCGGGAGGGTCCCATGTGACTATGAGCACTGGGTGCTGCATGGAGGAGGTGACATTTCAGCCACAGGTCGAGGACAAGTGGGGTCTGACTGGGGGACCAGGTGGCGGGACGGGTGAGGAAGAGCACCCTGGTGGGTGGCACACACGCAGGCTTGACCTGCTCTTACGCTCGGCAGACAGGACACTTGCTGGTGCTGTCCTTCGCCTCAGGAAGTCTGTGGCTGCTGTCCCTGTGCTGTGGCTCACCCCCGCCCTGCCCCTGCCCTACCCAGTGCCCTCGGCTCTCAGGAGGCGCCAAGTGTGTCTCCTTTGAGTACTGGCACCCACACGGAGGCCCGGGGGCACACTGGCCCTCACACAGACTGGCTTCACCCCTCTTCTGCTTTTCGGTCTCCACCCAGAGAGCGTGGGCAGGTCAGCAGCGGCCTTCCTTGGGTCTGGTTTGTTTTTTGTCCTGGAGATTGAACCCAGGGGTGCTTAGCCACACCCCAGCCCTTTTCATTTTTATTTTGAGACTGGGTCTTGCTAAGTTGCTGAGGCTGGCCTTGAACTTGGGCACCTCCTGCCTCAGCCTGGGATTACAGGCTTGTGCCACCCCACTTAGCCTCCTTAGGGCTTTTTGTTGTTGTTGGTTGGTTGGTTGTTTTGGTACAGGGAATTGAACTGGGGGGGGGGGGCGGGGCCCTCGACCACTGAGCCACGTCCCCAGCCCTATTTTGTATCTTATTTAGAGACAGGGTCTCCCTGAGGTGCTTAGCGCCTCGCTGTTGCTGAGGCTGGCTTTGAATTTGCGATTCTCTTGCCTCAGCCTCCCCAGCCGCTGGATTGCAGTGCCCACCGTGCCCACTGTGCCGGCCTCCTTAGGCTTTTATTTCCGCAGGTGGAAGCTCATTCCACTGCTTGGACCATCCCCGTCTCCGTGGCAACCTTCACGTCACTGCTCCTCCTGGAGCCTCTGCCGGGGGTGTGTCTTGACTTTCCTGGGGTTCCTCTCTCTGTGGCCTCTGCATTTGACAGCTCCCACTCCCTCCCCCACCCTCAGAGGCTCCTTCCAAGGACCTCCACATTTGTCCTCGGGCAGCATTGATCCTGCCCTCCTGACACATGATCGAGCAGTGACGTCGTGCATTTTCATTTGGGGGAGAAAAAGATTTTTTCTCGTTTTTCATGGAGTCATTGTTCTTGATCCAGCTGTCCCCAGGTTTTCAGTGGAAACCAAAGCTGACCTCCCCTTGCCACGCACGTGGCTCCGTCAGGGCCGTGTGTTTGTCCCGGCTGTGGGAAGGATGGCCCTCTGTCTGAGTGGGTTGGGGACAGTCGGCCTGGCTGG